GTTATCGGCTGCCTCCTGCATGCCCCCTACTGGGGATTGAGCCAGCCACCTAGGCATGTGCCCTGATCAGGAATCGAACCTTGACCTCCTGGTCCCGTGGTTGATGCTCAACCACTGAGCCACGCCGGCTGGGCTCTTGGTGTATTTTAAAGTGCATTTTCAGTTTGTTTCTTTGAAAGGATGGAGCTTTATCTGGCTTTGGTGTTTTGTCTCCCACTCCTGGTTGGGAGTCCGTGGGGATAGGCAGAGTTAGGGCTGGAGCTGGTTGAGACACGGAGGGCATTGGATTCCCTCTCATTGTGCCCCTGGTGGAAGGAACAGGCTCAGGGAGGGTTAGAGGTGTGGCCACACCTCCCTCAAATGACCACACACACTGCTTCCTTGTCTTTGTATGTGGGCTTCCCCCGGAGGTATAACTGCATGTTGCTACTTAGGCCAATTTTGCTTTCATAAAATATTTTAGAGCAGTAACTCTGTCCTATAATGTCAGGTCTGACCAGTTAAAATATGCTCTATTAATTTTTAAATGATACCTATTTCTGTCCCAAAGAAGAAAAAAGCTGTGCTTCTGTGAAATCTAATTTTCAAATACCGTATTTTTCTGTGTATGAGACACTATTTTTCTCTAAAATCATTAGACTGAAAATCGAGGGGTGTCTTGTACGCGGAAATCAGCTGAAGAGGGAGCTGCGCAGGTGCCTAGCTGCCCATGTTTTGTCAAACAGGCTTCCTCCAATCGTGAGCCTTATTGTTACTGACGTCAGCTGATGCCGTAATTGGAGGTGGAGAGTGCGCAGATGCAACAGGGACTGGAGCATTCTGAGCCCATAAAGATGTCAAAAAACAAAAAGATAAATACCTGTAAGCGATTGTCTTACTCTGCAAAATTCAAACTGAATGTCGTCAGCTATGCAAAAGAGCATGGAAATAGAGCTGCAGAGAGACAGTTTGGACCTCCTCCCACTAAGTGTGTGACCAGACAGTGGAGAAAACAGGAAGAACAACTCCTTAAGATGCCAACAAAGAAGACGGCCTTAAGAGGAAAACCAGAAAAATGTTTAAAATATTGATTTCTTAATTTTGGGTTGGAAAAGTGGGGGGGCGTCTTATACACAGGAAAATACGGTAATTCATTTATGCCTATTTAAAAATGAGGTAGGTTGTGCCATTGTCAGCCCTAAAGCTTCAAGGCTTATGGACACAGTGTGTCTTGACTCAGGCTGACCTGTTTTACATGGGAAAATGGATGCACATAGATAATGTATGGGTATGTATAGGAATATTGTAGTAGGTGTCCCTGCCTGAGAAAAAGCCATCATATGCTGAGAAGTAATGTCAGAGCGTCGATCATATTGCACATCTTTATAGTTTGGTAACAGCTGTTGTGAAGTTGCAAAAATTAGCCTAGTGCAAGGGCATCTTCTTAGGAGTAGAACTGCCTGCCGCCCGGTCATAGGCGCTGGCTCTCCATGATGATGGGGTGGGGGTGGTATAGGGGTAAAGCTCTGTGATGTCACTCAGCGGGCTCAAATCGTGGACACATGTTGTTCTCTTCTGCTCTTCTACAGAGAGACAGACCCACTCGACAAACATGAGGAGCGCAGCCAAGCCCTGGAGTCCAGTCACCAAAGTGGGGAGCCATGGGAGTGACCGCGCACGACCCCTCCCCACGGCCTCCTCTGGCATGAAGAGTTCTAAGTCTTCAACCTCGCTGGCGTGTGAGTCCCAGCTCAGCAAGGTATAGCCCGATACGCACAGGGTGAGGGCTGGGCGTCCAGTGTCTGCTCGGGGGATGGGAGGGGCTGGGAGGGGGTAAAGCTAGTGGCCTCCAGGGCTGGAGCAAGGCCTCCAGGGAGGGCCCAGGAGAACCTAAAGGAGCAGAGCAAAGGCTTTGTAGCAGGGGCATTTGGGATGGAGATGGAGATCTGCCAGATGTTTCCCTGGATTACCTGGACTCCAGGCAGAGCTCTGCCCCGGCACCCACCACATGGGGTCAGGATCACTAACGATCTGGTAATCCAGTGGCCAGTCTCCATCCTTGTCTTACTTGACTATCAGCAGAGTCAACACTGTTGATTAGGCCCCGCGTCTGGGAATGTCTTCTTCTCTCAGTTGCCTCCTTCCTTAGGGGTAGGAGTCTCCCTGCCGACTCCCTCTGCCCTGGTTTCAAATGTTGGGTGGACCCAGGGCACAGTCCTTGGGCCTCAGCTCTTTTCTAGTTACTGTGTCACCCAACACCTCCTTTCTGCCCTGCGATGAAGTCAGAGGTAGTATGACCTACCCACACACACATTTTTGAAAAATTAATGTAATATCCTAGCTATAAGAGGAAGCTAGTTTATAATTAAGTGAACCGTAGCGCCATCTGCATATGCCTCAGCTTGACTGTGCAGAAGGACCTGCGATGCTCCCTGGGCGCTGACATGCGATGTGGCCTGGGGCAGGCTGTGGTGTCTGCATGTTCCATGTATTCTTGTGTCCATTTCTGTGTCTCCAACCAGGACCCCTCCAATTGCCTTTGTCACCTTGCCTGTGGGCTGCCTGAAAGGCACTCCGAATGTAACATGTCCCAAACCGAATCTTGATGCCTTCCCCTCCAGGTCCCACGCCTCCCCTAGCCTGCTCCTGAATCTCCCCATTGGAGTAATAGCAACCCTGTCCTTTCGGCTGCCCAGGCCAGAGCCCAGGGCATCATTTTTGAATACTTCTCACATCCCATAGTTCATCAACAAGATGCCATCACTTCTACCTTAAAAATAGATGCCAATTCCATTCACTCCCATTACCTCTGCTGGGACCACCTGGTCGTGCCGCTGCCTTCCCTGCACGCTTCCCAATGTCCTCTCTGCTTCATCTTTGCGCCCATCATTCATCCTCAACAGAAGCCAGTGGTCCTTTTAGCACATGGATCACGCCCCTTCTCTGCTTGGAACCCTCAAGGCCTCTCTCCATTCATTCAGAGTGGTCAGTACTGCCCTGGAGACCTGCCCCATGCCTGCTCGCTGGAAGCCATGGCCCTCCCCCTGCCCTGGCTCCCTGCTGTGGCCTCGGGCTCTCTGGGCTCAGCGGCGGTTCCTCTGATGAGCGGGGCTCACTCCTGCCGCAGTGGGTTTGCTGCTCTCTACCCATTTCCTCCCTCTGAGCATCCTCCCCATCCTCCTCCTTTAAGTCTGTGCTCAAAGGTCTCCCTATCAGACATCATCCCACCACCCTGTACAGCGCCATCCTCACCGCTGCAGCTCCTACTGCCTCACACCCCTGCTCCGCGTGTCCCACCCCCTGCTCTGCATGGCCGTTTCCATAGCTGCGTGTAGCTGTCCATCAGACCACCGCCAGGCGTGGCAGGATGGGGGATGTCAGGCGGGAGGAAGGGCCCAGACCAGGCCAAGGGGTCCTGACTCTGCCCTTCCGTCTGTGAACCTCCGGGAGGTTGGGAGTGGTCCTGTGAGGGTTCCACACTGAAGTCCTTCATGACTGTGATCCTGGATTCAGCCATTATTCCCGTGACTTTTGTCTTTATGACCTTTGACCTGTAGCATACTTGGGAGACATCTTTGATTTAAATTTCAAATAAAAGCATACATTTCCCCAATGACAGACCAGTGAGCTTCTGGAAGCTCAGGAGTGTTCCCTGAGGACAAAGAAATGTTGGCCACTTCTGCTGTCGATGGGTGAGCATTTTGGAAACTTGTTCCACAGGGAAATGCCGGGGGAAAGCAGATTCTCCTATTAGACACTTGCTGCTCCCATTTCGCGCCTCAGCACCTGCAGGCCTCAGCCTGTGGAAGAGAGCACCAGGGCCCAGGGAGGGAGCAGCGGAAGAGGGCGCCTCCCCTGCCCATCTCCGGGAAAGAGGACATGGCGATAGACAGAACAGCTCGGAGACTGGCCCCTGTGTTGACAATGAAGACCTGCACACATGCAGGGCGGCAGCGTGGTACACCGAACACCTCACTCTAGCTGCTCTGTAGTGAGCAGGCACATAGGGGTGGATAGATATGTCTTTGGTCAAAACCAGGAAAATGGAAACAAATCCACCAAAGTGGAATGAAACCTCCTACTTCGAATGCTTACCCTCTGAAGGGCAGTGAGAGAAGCAGGGGCGCATGGCCCAGGGATGGGGGAGGCCTCGCCCGTGCTAGTCAAGCCCAGTGCCGGAGGGGAAGCGCCGGGGGTGCGCTGAGGCGAGCAGGCCACCTGTCTGGCCGCTCAGCTTCCTTGGCTGCAAATGACAGAACATTGACTTGAGCCAGCTCTGGCCGGAAAGAACTAGACTGAACAGACCCTAAGGCTCCCATGTCACTGTGGGCAGGACAGAGGGACAGACTGGAGCTCAGAGAGGCTGGGATCGGGGACTGGAACACCCAAGACTCGCTGTTACCCCCTTCCATTTGCTTCTGTGTCATCTGCTGGTGTCTGGTCTTCAGAGCGTGGCGTGAGCAGGGATGCCACCATGCCCAAGCCTCTCACATTCCTGGAAGGCTTGTCTGCTTATTTACTTACTTCTGATTTGCTTTAAAGAAAACTAAGCAAAAAAAATAGGGAAAGGTCTGCTTGGCTAGGCATGTACTGAGCCTGCCCAGGCCCCTGTGGCCAGGGGTCAGGGCCCCCATGCCCAGAGAGCAGAGTCGTATAGTTTAGGCATGCTCTTTACACGTCCCGGGCACCCGTCAGTCTTGTGCAGTCTTTCTTGGGGCGTGCTCTAACCCCGCACTGCCCAGGGCAGTACCCACAAGCCACAGGCTGCAGTTGAGCCCCTGGAACATGGCTAGTCAAAACCCAGATGTGCTCCAAGTGCAAAGTCACACCAGATTTGGAAGAGTTAATACAAAAACAAGTCGGATGCCTTACCAACATACTTTACATTGTTGATAATGTTTTGAATGTATTGGGTTAAGAAAATCTATTCTTAACATTAATTTTGTCCAGCAGTCACAGTGCTTTTATAATGTGGCTTCCAGACTCTATAAAACTATGCCTGTGGCTTGTACTGTATTTCCGTCGACGCTGCTGCTCTAAACATTGGTTCTCAAAGTGCTTCCCAGACCGCAGCGTGGCATCACTGGGAAAGGTAGAAACTCAAGTTCCCAGGCCCCACCGAGGTCTAGGAGTCAGAAAGGAGGTGGTGGTGGCCAATTGGGGTCGGGTCCAGGCAGCAGCGTGCCTTCAGGAGACTCCCACATTCTGAGGTGTGCCCAGTCTGAGAAGTGCTTCAGCCATCACGTGGCATCGGCCTTTACAGACTGGACAGTCCTGTGTGACGATTTTAGAGTTTCCGGTTTCCCCCACGACCTCTGTGGGATTGAGAAGAATTTGTAGTTCCTTTCATCTGTGAGCTATTTGCATGTTTTTCCTTTGTAAGCTCTCCTGGCGGTGCTTGGCAGCTTCACCATCAGCCAGTTGGTGAAAGTACTTACGGAACGTACCAAAGCAATGCCAAAGCGCATCCCTGCCCGACCGGCTGTCACAAACCAGAGATCTCACGTGGCTGCTGTCAGGGACCAGGAAACAAAGCCAACAGTGCAGCCAGGAGCCGGGCAAGATCAAGAGTCAGTAGCTGAGACCAGTAGCTTCCCAGACTGGAGGCTGCGTCCAAGAGATAGTGCCAAAGGACACTATTTCGCTTGGGAGGATGTGGAGAATTGCTTTCACCTTTATGTTCCGCTTCCTGGAAAAGCTTCTGAGCAACAGGGTGAGGAGAGCGCTGTGGCCAGCAGCCCGCCTGACTTACCGCGGTCAGATGTGCTGACAGCACAGACTGGACCGCACGTCCGCTGCCTGGGCCCTGTCCTCCCGCCTCCTGCGGAGGAGGGAGAAGGGCCAGGCGACCTGCCCTCCCGCCCACGTGGGCGCGGGGCTGCGGGGTTTGCAGAGGCAGCTTCCCTCCTGGCCCCTCTGCCCTCTCGTTTGTTGGATTCGCAGACCGACCCTCGGCTCCCTGGGCCTTTTGCGAGGAGGAAAGATGATAAAAGTACGAATCTGATTCTTCCACCTCTCTGTGTGACGTTTGCTGACCTTAGTGACGTCAGAGAATCAGGTAGAGGAAAGCAGGACCAAGTGCGTATCATTTGCATTAAAATTCCCTTAACTACAATGGTTTCTCTTTTTCTGTTTGGTGTGTTGTCTGGGGAGTTTTCAAAGCCTAAATCAGAATAGATTTTGCTTTGGGGACCTAGGGAGGTACCTGGGCATGCTTCTAGGCAGAGTGAGTAACAGCTGCTTTTTCTACTGAGAAGAAGTTGCTGACCTCATGCACTGTTGTCAGATAAGAATTACACTGGTGGCCTGAGGGCTACTTTGAGAGGCTGCAGATTTCCTCTGTGATTTCAGAGAGGAAGGGAGAGGGAGAGATAGAAACATCCATGATGAGAGAGAATCATTGATCAGCTGCCTCCTGCAGGACCCCCGGGGGTCAAGCCTATAACTCAGCATGTGCCCTGACCAGGAATCGAACGGTGACCTCCTGGTTCATTGGCCGATGCTCAACCCCTGAGCCACGCCGGCCGGGCTGAACATTCTTTTGATGTTCAGTGAGCCTGTGTGCTCACTTCTCTTGGGCATAGACCGAAGAGCAGGATTGCTGCCTCCTAGGGTGCAAATACTTGGCGTTAGTAGACTCTGCCAGTTTTCCCAAATGGTTGTCAGCTTGTCCCGCCACCTCACTGACACCTGGTATTAGCATTTTTTCTCTTTTAAGCTACTCTGGGGGTGTGTAGCTCCCTGAAATGTAAACAATGCAAAGTGGAAAATGTGTGTGTGTTTTTTAATCGTGAAAACCTTTAAACCCTAATTCTCTGTAAATGACCCCGAAGCCAGTGGATGGAGCAGGGCCTTTCCACCAGTGCAGTGGGAGGGGCTACCCACTCTCCATCTCTCCACACTGCTTTCTCCAGATGTCAGATATATTCGTAATGGCTCTGGGCATCTTCCTGTCTCTGGGGTTTTAGAACAATGATTTCCATCCTTTTTCATCTCATGGCACATACACTAATTACTGAAATTCGGTGGCACACCAAAAAAGACATTTTTTGCTGATCTGACAAAAAACAGATATAATTTTGATTCATTCACACTGGACGGCTGTTGTGCTGGCTGTTGTCACTTTTTTATTTGATGATGTAAGGGAAAAAAGATCAGTGCCCGTGACTAAATGGTCAGGTAGTGCATGTTTTAAAAATTCTTGCTGCAAACGGGGTGAAAATCACTGTTCTACAACAATCCCTTTTCAGTAATGTTGTTTAAAGACTTACAGTGGTTGGGAGAAGTCCTTTGGTCTTTCTCACTAACTTGGTGTCATTTCCTGGATCAGCAGTGATAGGTCATTTAAGGCTCCCCCTCTTTTTTTTCACCAGCAGATGAAACAATTTTATTTTATAGTTGTCTTTAAAATCACAAAATGTTTTTATATATTCTTCGTATAAAAGCATTAGTACAGCTAACTATGCTTTCTAGAATATGACTATATAGAGCCTCTCCAAGAAAAACGCACCCCATTATATGGTTTCAGTGAAGTTGCTTGGAAAAAATTCACATCTGGACTGATTCCTAAAACATACCATTCCACACTGTGTGTTTCGGTTCAAAGGACAGATTATTGTCACAGCGCTCGGTCCCGCACTCTCACCCGTGTGATGCTGCACACACAGGTGGGGGTCTCAGCTGCTGCTCCGCTGGCACATTCGCCTGTCTGCAGGTTCATCAGCGGGTGGCAAGGCTGTGCCTCGCCCTGTGGCCTTCCTTCCAGGCCTCCGGGCATGAAGCCACATCATCATCGTCATCAGTCAACTCCAGGTCTCCACAGCTGCAGAGGAAGCACTCAGTGTATTAGGCCCCGTCCTGCAGGAAGTGTCTCCCTTAAAGCAGGCAGACCACTCTAACCAGTTCGCTCAGACTGCACTCCACACACTCAGACATGGGTCTCTCCAAGGAAGCGCGAGCTGGTTGGGAACGGCCCCAGTGGACATAGCTCTGCAGTCAGAATAGTTAGTGGAGGGACAGGTTTGGAACGCTGAGGGCCCGTGTCATCATGACCAGCAATAAGCAGCCCGACACCGTATGGTCTTCAGCGACACCTGTGCGTTGGTGTCTGGTCTTGCTTCCCATTCTGTGGTTTCAGTGAAGTTGCAGATACAAGAGGAGACACAGGGAGACATCTGTCAAATACAAACCTGGGATCCAAACCCTCCTGGCGCATGAAACCACACACCGCCTCCACCAGCCGTAGGTCCCGCAGCTGAGATACAATATGGTTGTCGACGTGGAGACTGATTCCTGATGGCCAGAGGCTCCCACTGTGCTCTCCTCGGTGCAGCCCACCCTGCCCGGGTTTTTAGTTTCAGAGCAGCTGTGGCTGAACGTCGTCCGACAGCTTCCACTGCAGATTCAGTGTGATGACTCCTACCCTGAGGACGCCAGTGACATCGTTGTCACACGGGCTGCGAACGCTGGAGACAGGCCAGGCCAGCGGTGCTGCATGGGGGCCCCGCTTAAACCCCAATTTCTTTTGAGAAATGTTTGGTCTCCCTTTTTATGACAGAGAAGAGAGCAGAAAAGGAGCGAGGGGTTCTGCTTTCTTGCTGTCATTCAGTAGCTGCTCTTCTGGCCTCCAAAACGTCCTCTCTTCCCTGGGAACCCGTTGTCTGCGGGGGACCCTGGGCGGAGTTCTTGGTGTTGAGCACGGTCGATTCCAGGTCTTGTACATCTCTTCCCTCTGCTTCCTCCAGACACGTATTTTTAAGTTAATTTTGTCCTTGAATTATTTTGTGCATCGCCATGTCCTGACTTTTGTGCATCTCACAGTTCTTTTTTCATCAGCTCCCATTCTTTAAAAAATATTTTTTCGGGCAACAGGGTATTTAGGAATTCACTGTGAAGTGTGACACAATGGTATTGTTCACCCCTAATCTTATAATATTCTTTGACACGTAGGGAAGGTTATGCTCCAGCCTGTGAAGGACACACACAGGGGTGTGGAGCTTTGCACTTGTCCACTTCGCACTGCCGTGCTCCGCAAAGGGCCCTCACTGCGCCGTAACCTCTGGGCCGTGGGATTGCTCACAGGCTTCTTGGTGTGTAGCACTCCTTACTGAAAACGGGTCTTTTGATCCTCTCTTCCCCTCTACCTCTCTCTTAGCTCAAGAGGGCCAGCAGCGAGGACATGCTCAACAAGCCGGGAAGTACCACCGCTTCCGCGGTAGTCCGACTGAAAAAGACTTCGACAGCCGGAACCATCTCCGAGCTCACTGAGAGCCGCCTGAGGAGCCACCCAGGTAGGAGGGACGCAGGTCAGGAATGCATGTCTGAGGGGCCCAGGCAGGAGGGGCCCAGGTCAGAGGGACCCAGCAGGCCACTCATCCTGGCCCAGGACAGCACGTCGGTGGCTGATGCATCCTCCCCGCATCAGATATGTGTGGAGCACTTACTCTGGGCCAGGTACTGCTTTCGGCAACAACATCCAGCCCATGGAGTTTACATCGGGGGGTGGGGGGGGACAGACAAGAACAGAAAGGTGATGGGGATGCCGTGGTTCCCGCTGTCCTTCCAGGTGTGCACCTGCCATCGTGCGTGTGAAGTCCAGGCAAGGCGGCCTAGGTCCTGGCGTGTCTTGGGGTGACGGGCATTGAGGAGTGAATGAACCGGCTCTGTAGGTCCCTCGCAGATGTGGTGTTCAACATCCCATGGAGAACGGGATGCTCTGCACCGAGTTGCTTAGAGGGCGGGGGCCATGGAAATGTGAACTTTCTCAGTATTACTGTCTCTTTGAGAAACAGAAAAGTATATATATCAGACAGGAAGGGAAAGGGTTAGAGCAGCAGTTCTCAACCTGTGGGTCACGACCCCCTTGGTGGTCGAACGACCCTTTCATAGGGGTCGCCTAAGACCATCCTGCATATGAGATCTTTACATTATGATTCATAACAGTAGCAACATTACAGTTATGAAGTAGCAACGAAAATAATTTTATGGTTGGGTCACAACATGAGGAACTGTATTTAAAGGGTTGAGAACCACTGGGTTGAGAGGGAATTATCGATTGGCTGCCTCCTGCACGTTCCAACCTGGGGACCGCGCCTGCAACCCAGGCATATGCCCTGACCAGGAATCGAACCGTGACCTCCTGGTTTACAGGTCAACGCTCAACCACTGAGCCACGCCGGTCGGGCTAGAAAAGGTTTTTTAACCATTATAGTTGAGTCCAGAACATAGAAAACTTAAAACATGAAAGAACAGAGGAGTGACATCAGAGGCAATGAGGAAGGTTACTCTGGTCTCTTACTTTGAAGTTACAAGTTGAACAGCTGTCATTCAATAAAGGCTTCCCTGCTCATATACAAGCACACCTGAGAGACCCTCACATTGAAACTCTGAAGGCAGGCGACTCAGAGGGAGCCGGTGGGGCGGGAAAGGAGCAGAGCAGAAAAGGGTGTCACAGACGCAGCCCCTCGCTCCCCGCAGTCTCGAAAGAGGGAAGGAACCAGGTTGCCATCTGCAGTCCGGAGGAGCAGAGAGATGCAGTGAGGTGAGCATGCCTAACGCAGTGGTTGGTATAGGCTGCACCTGAACCCAGTAACCTGGGCAGAGATGGTGTGGAGGTGCCGCTGTGGTTGTATGGTGTCTGCCACTGCAGGCAGAAAAACAAAGCCATGGAGCCAGGCTGGCGCCCCTCACCCTTCCAGACTAGCCGCAGGCCCCAGAGGGAGTTGTAGCCGCAAGTGTTGAGCTACAGAGCATGTTATCTGCTGCCCCGAGAACTGGAGAGACAGAAACAGTTCCCCCTGAGCAGCAGGTGCATTCTGCAACTAATTGCAATGACAGGGGCGAAGACACGAAAGTGAGGCAGCTGAGGTCTAGCAGTCACCATTACTGGGAGGAGAACAAATCTACAAAGACCAATAGGCCTCTCCAGTTCGCCCACCCCCACCCATCTCTGCAGAGAACAGCACTGGGATTTCCTGGAACCCTGTTCCTGACCACGTTGCCCCATGGGTGCGGAACCCTGAAACTGAGGTGACCGGGCCACAGAGGAGAAGCTCACCTCCCCAGAGAATAGAAGACATTTTCCACCATCTAGCAGAGATCCGACAAACCAAAGCAACGCAAGAGAAATTTAAAAATTTGTGCTTCAGTGTCACCTACTGGAGAACAAAAGAAAGACTTCTTATCAAGTTACTAGAGAAGCTACTTGTTAAAAAAACCCCCAAAAAACAAAAAAGCAGAAGTTCTGGTCAAGATGGTGGCATAGGTAAATGTGGTACTTGAATCCTCTCACAACCACATCAAAATTACAGCTACAGAACAACCATCGTTCAGAACTGCCTGCATTTGGCTGAATGGACGTCCTACAACTAGGGATTTAAAGAAGAAACTACATTGAGACTAGTTGGAGGGATGGAGATGCAGAACAGGCTGGTTCCACACCCACATGTGGTCTATAAAAATTGGGAAGGATATTTCAGCTGCAGAGGTTCCTCCTGAGGAACCAGGGGTCCTAGTCCCACAGCAGGCCAGGGTTCCAGTGCCAGGAAGAGAAGTCCCCATAACTTCTGGCTGTAAAAACCAGCAGGGATTGTGGCTGAGGGAAACAGAGGGCTTCTGGAGTTCTAGGCAGTTCCTCTTACAGGACCTGCACACAGACTTACTTGGACTCACACTCTCTGAGCTCCAGTGCTGGGACAGCAGCTAGAAAGCTACCAGGGACGTACAGGGAGGAACTGAATTGTCTTACGTCAGGGCAAGAGCTCAGGCTGGCAGCTTTCTGTCAGACAAAAGTGCTGGCAGAGGCCATTGTCCTTTTCAGAGACACCCCTCATCCTGGCGATTCCATGAGACCCAACCCCACCTTGCTTCCAAGCCCATCCAAACTGTTTTGAGTGGCTTTTCCATACAAATGGCCTGTCTTGGCTCATGTTTCAGACTTTTCTAAAATCTCTCAAACAAGCAGCAGCATCTGGCCTCAGAATCCCCTGTACTCTGGCTAAGTTGCCCCAGACCTGGTACTAGCAGCAGCCAGTGTTAGTTCACAACTTGGCCTCACCTGGGCACCTCCAAGCCCAACACAAGTAGCAGCCATCAGCAGATCACTTTGTAGCTCATGCCAGGTGGCCCTGAACAGAGCACAGGTGCAGCTGAACTTGGCCTGTACCACCTGGAGGCCCCAGAGCCAGCACACCTGGTGGATAGCTTCAGACCACCACCCAACCACTTCCACAAGTGACGCACTCAAGGGACAGACTCAGCAGGCACCAGCACCCCGTTGAAGTAAGTCCTGCTCTGAGGGTAGTCCCTGCACATTTAATCCTCCACAGTGGTCGGTGGTTACAGCCAGTCATTGCAGCCAGTCGGACTGGGGGTAAATCCCTCCCATTGATGGTCTAATAGCAACCAATGCTCAACTATAATAGGAGGGAATACACAGCCCACATGGGGTGGGGGTCGCATCCAGAGTACTCAGCTTAGGTGATTGGGAGAGCCTATGCCACGGGGCCCTACAGAGCACCTACTACATATGACCACTCTTCCAAGCTCAGGATACATAGCAGCTCTACCTAATACATAGAAACAAACACAGGTAGGCTGCCAAGTGAGGAGACAAAGAAACATATCCCAAATGAAAGAATAGGACAAAACTCTAGAAAAAGAACTAAGCATAATGGAGACAAGCAGTCTACTAGATACAGAGTTCAAAACACTGGTTATAAGGATGCTCAGTGAACTTAGTGAGAACTTCAACAGTATTCAAAAGAACATGGAGACCATAAAAAAGAACCTGTCAGAAATGAAATATGCACTAACTAAAGTGAAGAATAATTTACAGTGAATCAACAGTAGAATAGATGAAGCAGATAATCAAATCAGTGATTTGGAATATAAGGAAGCAAAAAACACCAATCAGAATGTGTGAGCTCCCATAAGACTGTCAGCTGATTTCTCAACAGAAACATTTCAGGCCAGAAGGGATTGGCAAGAAATATTGAAAGTAATCAAAAGCAAAGAACAGAAGAAATCTCCAGAAAAAGAACTAAATGAAATGGAAGCAAGCAAACTACTAGACATGGAGTTCTAAACAGTGGTTATAAGGATGTTCAAGGTTCTTAATGAGAGCTTCAAGGGACTTGGTGAGAATTTCAAGGATCTTAGTGAGAATTTCAAGAACCTTAGTGACACATCAAAGACATGAAAAAGGACTAGTCAGAAATTAAGCATACACTAACTGAAAAAAGAATAATTTACAGGGATTCAACGGTAGAGTAGAGAATTCCGAGAATCAATGATTTGGAATATGAGGAAGCAAAAAACACCCAAGCAGAAGAGAAAAAAAAGAATAAAAAATATAAGAAGATAGTATAAGGAGCCTCTGGGACAACTTCAAGTGTACCAACATTCACATTATGGGGGTGCCAGAAGAATAGAGAGAGCAAGATATTGAAAACCTATTTGAAGAAACAATGACAGAAATTTTCCTCTACTGGTGAAAGAAATAGATGTACAAGTCCAGGAAGTAGAGAGTCCCAAACAAGAGGAATCCAAAGAGTCTCACACTAAGACACATCATAATTAAAATGGTAAAGGTTAAAGACAGAGAATCTTAAAAACAGCAAAAGAAAAGCAGAGAAGAAGAAGAAGAAGAAGAAGCAGCTATCTGAACAATAAAATGGCAATAAATACATATCTATCAACAACTGAATATAAAAATAAACAAGGAATCTAATGAACAAAATAAACTGATGAATAAAATAGAATCAGAGGCATAGAAACATGAAACAGACTGATGAATCTCAGAGGGAAGGGGTGTAGGAAGAGATTAATCAAAGAACTTACATGCATTACCTATGGACACAGACAATAGGGTGGTGAAGGCCTGTGTTGGGACAGCGACCGGGTGGAGGGGAGCAATGGGGGAATAAAGGGGAACATCTGTAATACTCTCAACAATAAAGATTTTTTAAAAATAAAAAATAGGCCAAAAATTAAAAAGCATTTAACTTAAAAAAATAATAAGAAATAAAAGAAAGTGATGAAAAGTAAGGGCCTACAACCAAGATTACTCTATCCAGAAAAGCTATCATTTAGAATTGAAGGTCAGGTAAAGAGCTTCCCAGACAAGAAAAATCTAAAGAAGTTCATCACTACCACGCTAAACTAGTATTATATGAAATGCTAAAAGGTCTTCTTTAAGAAGAAAAAATACATATGAACAATAAAAACATATCTCAACAATTGAATCTAAAAACATAAACAGACAAGCAGAACAAAAATAGACTCATGGATA